ATGTGTATTTTGGGTCTAGACAGAAGTTAAAATATTGATGGATATGTGTATTTTGGGTCTAGACAGAAGTTAAAATATTGATGGATATGTGTATTTTGGGTCTAGACAGAAGTTAAAATATTGATGGATATGTGTATTTTGGGTCTAGACAGAAGTTAAAATATTGATGGATATGTGTATTTTGGGTCTAGACAGAAGTTGAAATATTGATGGATATGTGTATTTTGGGTCTATACGAAAGTTAAAATATTGATGGATATAAGTATTTTGGGTCTATACGAAAGTTAAAACATTGATGGAAATATGTATTTTGAATCACAACAAAAGTTAAAACTTTGATGGAAATATGTATTTTGGATCACGACAAAAGTTAAAACTTTGATGGAAATATGTATTTTGGATTACGACAAAAGTTAAAACATTGGTGGATATGTGTATTTTGGGTCTATACGAAAGTTAAAACATTAATAGAAATGTGTATTTTGGGTCTAGACAAAAGTTAAAATATTGATGGATATGTGTATTTTGGGTCTAGACAAAAGTTAAAACATTGATGGAAATATGCATTTTGGGTCTATACGAAAGTTAAAACATTGATGGAAATATGTATTTTGGGTCTAGAACAAAGTTAAAATATTGATGGATATGTGTATTTTGGGTCTAGACAAAAGTTAACATTGATGGAAATATGCATTTTGGGTCTATACGAAAGTTAAAACATTGATGGAAATATGTATTTTGGGTCTAGACAAAAGTTAAAATATTGATGGATATATGTATGTTGAGTCTAGACAAAAGTTAAAATATTGATGGATATGTGTATTTTGGGTCTAGACAAAAGTTAAAATATTGATGGATATAAGTATTTTGGGTCTATACGAAAGTTAAAACATTGATGGAAATATATATATATAGTATATATATATAGTATATATATACATATATACGAGTATAGAAATAATACGTTTCTTTCCTTTTTTAGAATAGGGGGAAATATTCCCCAAACGCCAATCGGTCCATTCGTTTGGCCGGCTATATACAACATATAGACGAATGTCTTGTTTTATTATTTAAGATGTAGTGGTTCTATATCGTATAGTGAAATATAGAAACGACTCTTTCTTAAAGTGAAAGTTTTATAATTATTTAAATAAAACATGTAGAATTTAAGTGGAAATAAGAAATTGATAGAATAGAAACCATCGAGTTTTTTCTTGATAGAATTAACAGTTTTCAAGGTTTGGTTTTTATTGGAAAAAAAATAAGATTAACAATTTATTTGACATTTTAAAAAATCGACTTTTAAAACAGATTTTGAGAAAAGGTGAATTATATTTCTATTTCATGTAAATGGCAAATATATAAATAATAAATGATTTCCAATATAAAAGCTAATTCAAAAGTTTACAGAATAAACAACGATTTTAAAGTAAACCATTCTTGAAACTATGTACAGTAAGCTTCTATAGATTATTTCTTTGCCTTTTAACTTATATAAGAAGTTTGTTAAAAAGCCTTGCATTTCTACTCCTCTTTTCACAATACTCTGTTTGCTAATAAATATTTAAATTGTTTTTTGGAGATTTAGCCTAGGGGGGTGAACTTTTGGCTGATTTTTTTGGTTCACCCCCCTATCGCTNCCCCCCCCCCCCCCCGGGTTCTGGTAACACCAACCTATATTTGTATGAGTTCATTTAAACTACATTCATAGCTAATAAGTGTAATTTTGAGAATGGACCCCCTGTGGCTGTATTTTATAATTGGAAATATTTCAATCATGAAAGATCTACTCAAACTACTTCTCTTGCACCACGCAAATAAGTAAGTCACCTATCAGTTTTTAGTTTAACTACTTTTTTGCCATTTTTGAATTTCGATCATGAAAGATCCACTCAAACTACTTCTCTTGCACCACGCAAAAGAAGTAAGTCACCTATCCGTTTTTAGTTCAACTACTTTTTTGCCATTTATGAATTCTGACCTCTTGAAAAATTAAAACCAGTTACAAATAAAATATTCTTTCTGGGATTTATAGATTTAAAAAAATGAAGACGACAATCTTTCCCGTTTTATTACTGTTTGACTAACCTGAGTTGAAGGGATTGTTTTGACTGGATTAGCTCGAACAATGCTTGTGGAAGAGATTGCCAAGTTCATGCTTTTACTAATCTCATTTTGGGTCTAGACAGAAGTTAAAATATTGATGGAAATGTGTATTTTGGGTCTAGACATAAAACATTGAAGGAAATATGTATTTTGGGTCTAGACAAAAGTAAAAACATTGTTGGAAGTATGTATTTTGGGTCTAGACAAAAGTCAAAACATTCTCTAAAAGAACCCCACCTTTACCTCAGTTTGTGTTTACATAAATTTGAATTTAACAATTTTAGATTTAATTATCTTTTGTGTAGTGTTTAAATTTAATTTAAATCTGCACACAAATTGATTTTTTTGCAGATTTAAATTAAATTTCAAAGAGAATTGTGTAAATAACATCTAAATCAAATGATTGAAATACCTTTAACCGAAGAATATCTGAAGGTTTTAGTAATCTCTCCATGCAGTCTCTGAAGCCAACAAAACAAATACTTTTAAATTCTCTCTAAGTAAGTGGAAAATATCCATTTTCAAAACTCTTAGTAATTTATACCATTGAATTGATCTAATGTTATATCTTTGTGACAAAAATAAAGGTAAGATATTATTCTTAGAGTTTAGAAGAAATTTTTTTTTGTTGCACCATTTTTTTAACTTAATTCTAGAATTTGTTTTTCAAAAATATGATAAGATCTTTGTGAGTATAAAATGTCTGTATACAAAAGTCCCCGTTTTGTCAAAAATAGCATGCCCTTAAATATAAGTTCCAGATATAAACAATTAAATGCTGATTTTTAAAATATGGAAAAAAAATATTTTGTTATTCCTTGAATTTGTTTGGCCATCTTTGGAAGTTATTTCTTGACCCCGAATCGGAGCACTTGCCGGTCGAGTCAAACCATTTGAATAAAGGTCTGTTCCAGGGGCTCTTCGGCAGACCTCTTGAGGTCGTGTGGAGGCTGAATTCTGCCAGTTTGGAGGCTGGGTTGTTATTGACAGATGTACTGGATCTCTTTGCATAGTTGCCGAGGGGGAGGTGGAACCCACTCTTTGAGAAGGGGAGGTGGCACCAACTCTGTGAGTTCCACTCCAAGGGTCATATTGTGGGCTCGGATAGGTCGGCTCCAGATAGGGTTGAGGATAGGAGGAGTTAGGTTTGTTCTCTTGCTGAAGAAAGGATTCAATATCACTGAAGCTTGGAGATTTTCGCATTTCCCTTTAAAGAATATTTTTATTAACAGAATTAGAAAACTGAAAAATGTTTATAAACCCTTTGAAGCCATTTACTATTTCGCTGTCATCCAACTTTTGCTGCTAAATAATCTATATTTTGTTGAATATATGCAATTTTTTGTCGTTTTTTTGAAAGTCATCCAACTTTTTGGATTTTGTAATTTTGAGTGCAATTATAGAGTCGATTTTCCAAATGCGCCTTCAGAATTAAAAAAAAAACCATGTTTACTTGTTTAAAGTTACTTTTGACACTTTAATTAAACTTTTTTAAGAGTTTTCACAACTTAAATATTCGAATCCCAATATCTTTGCAACCTGATGTTGCAAACCTTATATATTTAAAACTTAGATTAGTTGATCAAACAGATTTTTCGACAAGGGCACAATTATTTTGGGATGCATGAATTTAGATGATTAAGAATATCGCAAAATTGACAACAATTAAATTTTAAATAAGGCAGATTCAGAACTAATAAATTATGTCAGAAGTAAGACTTGAACTGATCATTTCCGATTCATAAGAGGTATTTAATCCTGATAGTTTCTCTATTGTTTCTGGAACAACAAATAATGATTAAACATGAAGATTGAAGGATTTAGAATAATGATTAAACATGAAGATTGAAGGATTTAGAATAATGAAACATGAAGATTGAAGGATTTAGAATAATGCTTAAACATGAAGATTGAAAATAATGATTAAACATGAAGATTGAAGGATTTAGAATAATGATTAAACATGAAGATTGAAGGATTTAGAATAATGCTTAAACATGAAGATTGAAAGATTTAGAAAAATGATTAAACATGAAGATTGAAGGAATTAGAATAATGATTAAACATGAAGATTTAAGGATTTAGAATAATAATTAAACATGAAGATTGAAGGATTTAGAATAATGATTTAACATGAAGATTTAAGGTTTTAGAATAATGATTAAACATGAAGATTGAAGGATTTAGAATAATGATTTAACATGAAGGTTGAAGGATTTAGAATAATGATTAAACATGAAGATTGAAGGATTTAGAATAATGATTAAACATGAAGATTTAAGGATTTAGAATAATGATTAAACATCAAGATTGAAGGATTACATGTTGAGGTGAAGGGTCAAGTTTCTAGAACAAGCAACAATAAATGATAAACAATGTGTATTGTTCTCTTTGTAGGTCAAGCGACATTTGTATTCAGGATTTTATATTCAGGAATGAGGAGGGGCAGGAGGTCTAGCAGGGGGAGGAGGGGGAGGAGGGGTAACATGGGAATTCAATTTAAAACACTCTGAACCAAGGTGCCTATACAGACTTAAGATGAGTGGGATGACAGAAGCGTATTCAAAATTTTATTTCAATTCAATGTTCAGATTCAAGACCAGTACGCATTTAATTAACTTGGAAAAATAATGTATGATTAAGAGTATTTAAACTCTAAAAAAAGGTAATTTTTGGATCGTTAATTAGACCAAACTAAAACAAATCGACTTAAAAAGTTTACGACATATTGAAAAATAAGCTTTGTGTGCGGTAACATCTGAAATAAAAAAATAGGCCTTAAGTAGAATAATATTTTAAAAGAAATTTCTGTTATCAATTCAGATTTTTACTGTACATTGTACACTGTACAGAAAACAGTAAACTCCAACACACTTACATTACAGTACACTACATGTACTGCATAATGTACCTGATGGCTAAAAGGATGTCCTGTCTGTATGAATTTAACCCAACAGTACAGTACATTACATGTACTGCATAATGTACTTGATGGCTAAAAGGATATCCTGTCTGTATGAATGTAACCCAACAGTACAGTACACTACATGTATACTGCATAATTTACCTGATGGCTAAAAAGATGTCCTGTCTGTATGAATGTAACCCAACAGTAGAGTACACTACATGTACTGCATAATGTACCTGATGGCTAAAAGGTCCTGTCTGTATGAATGTAACCCAACAGCTCTGCTCTGCACCTAAATATAAATCCACAGTAATTCCAAAGTTAGAAAATTTCACTAAAAAATCGATAACTTAATTACTTTTAAAAACTTTAAATTAAAAACAAGATATTATGCAACTTTTACTAGCCATCTGAATCTGATTGTCAAGAAGTGGCTAAAAGTCAGTTTTTATGGATTAAAGTCGCAGAATATTAGGTCTTTTATAAATAGATTGATAAAGATTCTAAATTTATTTTGTCAAAAATTTAGAGTATTGAACCTAGAAATTAATTTCTTAAGATACATCAAAAGAGGTTTATAAAACAGAAATCCAAATTAGCTAATAACTATCTGTGTATTTTCTACGTAATGGCTGATACTATTAGGAAGAAAAAACATTCTCTAGATTTTGAATGCCCCCACCCCCCTGCAGGGGAACATGGGTTCATGAAAAAGTGTGGATAGGATTTTTTCTTTTTTTTGATATATTTGAAATGTTGCATACTGTTTTACTGCGATCAAAGAAAGCCTTAAAACTCTAAAAACGATGTATGGGATTGTTCCACCTGTTTCAAACCGTTCTCTACTGCTAGAACCTGCTCCGAGGAAGGACAGGATAAATCACCTCGTGGTTTAACCATGCTCAGCTGGGCAGCTTTCTGCAGCTCCTGAATATGCAGAGTGTCCGAATAATTATTAGAAATAACTGACGACTTTTTATCGTCTTTTTTCACGCAGCAATATTTCGTTTTAGTGGTATCCCGTGTATTGGGTTACCCTGTATTTTACAAGACATCGGAGTTTAAAAAATGAGAAAAGTGATAAACTATAGGCTCGTATCAGAGTCGATTAAACTATAGTACTGCTAGGATCAAAGTCGATTAAACTATAGTATTGCTAGGATCAAAGTCGATTAAACTATAGTAATGCTAGGATCAGAGTCGATTAAACTATAGTAATGCTAGAATCAGAGTCGATTAAACTATAGTACTGCTAGGATCAGGGTCCATTAAACTATAATATTGCTATGAGTAGAGTCGATTAAACTATAGCACTGCTAGGATCAGAGTCGATTAAACTATAGTAATGCTAGGATCAGAGTCGATTAAACTATAGTAATGCTAGGATCGGAGTCGATTAAACTATAGTACTGCTAGGATCAGAGTCTATTTTTTTATCCTGGCGGCATAGAACTGCTTTAGTAGTTCGTGAGGCAGACCTAGTTAAACTTTTCTTTTTAACATTTACGTGTAGTCTAAATACATGTTTTTTAATGATCCATAATCTTTTATGAACGGTTATTCATATAATAAAATACGTACATAAAACAATAATAAAATCTAATTTAATAGTTTGTAGATATATTAAACCTTTTACAGATCAAATAACTAGCTATAACTTTTATTCAACCATACTTGTTTTTTTGGATGGGATACACATTTCAATTTAGTTAAGTTTGTTTTGTTGACTTGTTGCTTTATTTTATAACCTGTCTAAGAAGTAGGAGTTCATGTTGGTAAATAGATAAACTGGTTCCTAGATCCTCAACCTCCTAAACAAACAAAAATTAAAGTTTTAAAAATTTGAAGAATTGAGTCTTTGACACAAACTCTGAGTACTAATCCTAATCATATTGTTAACACCATCAGGTTTGAAATATCATATTGTTAACACCATCAGGTTTGAAATATCATATTGTTAACACCATCAGGTTTGAAATATCATATTGTTAACACCATCAGGTTTGAAAAATCATATTGTTAACACCATCAGGTTTGAAATATCATATTGTTAACACGACCAGGTTTGAAATATAATGTTGTTAACACCATCAGGTTTGAAATATAATGTTGTTAACACCATCATGTTTGAAATATCATATTGTTAACACCATCAGGTTTGAAATATCATATTGTTAACACCATCAGGTTTGAAATATCATATTGTTAACACCATCAGAATTGAAATATAATGTTGTTAACACCATCAGGTTTGAAATATAATGTTGTTAACACCATCAGGTTTGAAGAAAGAAATCGCAATGATCTCACAATTATATCATTTATTATTTAAATCATTTTTGCTTATTCTTCAATCTTAAAGTATCAAGGTTTTGCTTTTAATTAAAAAGTTTTATGAATAACAAAACAACCTGTTTGAATTGCTGATTAAAAAAAGTACGTTTTTTAGAAATTGCTTGTTTACAATAATAATATTGTGACGAAACCAGTTTGAAACAGTTATCATAACTTTAAAAAAGGGTCTGTGTCCTTTCTACGAAATGTTGTTTTTGAAGAAAATTTTTTATTAGAGAGAGAAAGTTCATAGAAAAAAAATTTATTAAAAAGGTTTACTATTTAAAAAGCTATCACATCAATTCTTAGTAAAAATTCTTTTCTTTAAATTAAAACAAATAAAAAAAGTATGCAGAGTGAAAAATTTAAAACTTCAACTTAATATCACCACCCTAAGGTTTTATTAAGGTAATTCAAAAACTGAGTGAAAAAGAATACTTCAACTTTTTCTTGACTATTCCAACTTCTATTATATAATGGAAGACAAATTTATCAAATTTGTTTTCATGCTTAGGGTATTAGAGGAAAGTCAGACAGCTGGTTGGTGTTTTATAATGACTTTTTATCATTTGAGTTACGTAAATCTACAATTTACTTTTTTTAAAGCCTTTGACAAATTGATGCTATATGTAGTCACTTATAGTAACATGTGTCACATTTTTCCGACGTTAAAATTAGAGGTCTAAGTTTTTAATGAGCTGGCCTTGAACAGTGGGACTTGGGACATGTATCACACTCCCATTAAACCAATTCACAAGTTTTTGCTGTGGATATAGAGTTGAGCTACGTGGCTATCTCAAACAAAAGTTTGAACCTCTGCCGGAGAATTGAAACTAAAATTTACATGAGGGTGAATTAAAAATTATTCAACCTTTTACAGTGGAAATCATACAACTTTGGGGTTTAATCAATCTAATGTATATTTGTATCTATATAAAAATTTGGCTTGTTTGTCTGTTTGGGTGTTTGTTTGTTTGTATCCAATAAATGTCAAAACGGCTGAACCGATCGGGCCCAAATTTTTTGTGGGACATCACGTGACCACAGGGAAGGTTTATGAATGATAAAAAATTTTTAAAAATGTGTTTTAAAGGTTTTTAATTTTGTAAAAAAATTTAAATTCTTGAAAATCCGCGAATTTTTTTTTTTAAATCCGCAAAATTTTTTTCTTCTTTGTTTTTAAATGTAAACAAAAAGAACATGTTCACAATTTGAATAGAAGATGGGCGCGAGGCGCCCTAAAAGCCATAGAAAGCAGGGCTCGAAGCGCCTTGAATTTCTAGTAATGTATATTTGTGTATATGTGTATATGTGTATTTTACAGTGGAAATCATAAAACTGTGGAGTAAGAAGATGACATTTAATCAATCGTATGTGTATTTGTGTATGCGTATATTTGTATATTGTATATTTGTATAATGTATATGTGTGAATATGTATATTTGTATAATGTATATTTGTGTATATGTGTATTTTACAGTGGAAATCATACAACTGTTGAGTAAGAAGATTACATTTAATCAATCGTATGTAAATTTGAAGTTGTTATAAAGAAAACAGCTTTACCAGTGCTTGTCAAGTAAAATTGACATTTTAAAATGTGAAGTGTTCACTGCACAGTGCACAATTGCTACGTTTTAATTTTCATGGGAGAATATAAAATCATTTCAGCCTAGGACTGTCGTCTTCATCTCCCACAGTTGTATGGATCCCACTGCCTGATATAGAAAAGCCTACCTCATAAATCTGTTTTATTCTTGAATCAATTTTGATAATTTCATTTTTCAACATTATTCCTGAACTCTTCTCCTCTTCTCCTTTCTTCAAACCTGAACCTCCATTTTCCTCATTCTTTCTCCATCTCATCTCCAACAGCTCCTACAAATATGCATGGTTGAAGTATTTGAAAATAAGGACTAAACTCATATTTTCAAAGGATTCCCCCTTTATGTAATGACATGTCTGATTTACAACGGTACTCTTAAAAACCTTTCTTCAGGTCAATCGAATGCAAGAGATATTCATTATCTTCCCTTTATAAAACTATTAGTTTTAACTTATTGTTTCTCTCAGTGGAGGAAAGTGGAAGAAATAAACAGTTTTAAAGCTAAAATAACCACGATGTTTTTCTTATTATTGATTAGATAACGGTTTTAAATCACCAAAAAACTTAAAATTAAAGTGACATCAATTCCTATAACTATTCAATTCCCCAATGTTTTTACTCTGTATCAAAATAAGCATAAAGGGTCTGTCTGTGTTGCAATAGTCCAACAATTCTTGTATTAATTAAGGTACAGATATTTGAAGACCCATTGAAAAATTGATGTATGAAGCTTGTGTAACATTTCAATGTAAATAAAAATAATTTGTGTTTCCCGTTTTCCGAAAAAAATATTTTTGTTCTAATTTTGATAAAAAAAATTAGTTTTAATGGACGTTAGTATTTTTTAAATATTGTAGTGAACAGTATAGTTAATTGCTAGTTTTTATATAAATCTTAACAGTCACATGCGCCAGTGTCACTCTTAACACTTTAATAATTGTATGGCTTACACAGTTTAAAGGTAATATTATTATTTGCCTGATAATAATAGAAAACCAACGTCATGATTCACTACAAAATATTACGTTTTAATATTTTTAGAATAAATGTTTGAATGATGTAGATCCCTTGAATTATATTCTATACTGAATATATGTTGTATAATGTATAATAAGCCTAAACACTGGTCAGGTATGTGAAGTTAAGCTACAACTGCACACTATACTGCAGCTTGAATATTAGAGTCGACTATAATGTTACATAAGCAGCAAACATTTTTGTTTACTAATTTAACCACAAAAAAAAATATTAAATTACAAGGTTTATACGTTGCAAAATTAGCAATTACATTTTTGCAACTTAATAAACCATACTTTCTTTGAAAAAAAGTGGAACCTATAAAAATATGAAATGGGAAGACGACTGTTAGTCTCAAATTAAGATTTTTTTTTAGTGGATGAAACACATCAATTGTGCATTGTGCACAGACACATTTCACTAAATAAGTTGATGCCAAGCCTCCCTCACCCAAAAATACACATTGCTTATCTGTTCTCTTTATAGGTTTACAGCGAAAAATAAGCGCTTTTGATCGCTACTAATCTTACTTCTATTTGTTGCGTCTATAAGGAGAAAATTGTTAAAAACGACTCACACCGGAGAACGAAGCGTCCATAAAAATTCGGAAAGTTGCAACATTCAACTCGGATCGTAAAAAAATCAATTTAATTCCAAACGAATCATTCAGATATTACAAACATTGGTCATCGATTATTTTTCGACGCATTCATATTTTGTTAATATTTCATAATATTTTTGATTTTGTTTTTCAAAATGATTTTCGCTGGCGCTGGATTTTCGAACATTCCTGGAAAATATGAAAATGTCGTCTTCATTATCAAAAATCCTCGAAACAGGAATAAATGTTTTTAAAAGTAACTCTCAGATCATGAAAAATACAAAATACTATGAAATATCAACTATTTACGAATGCGTCGGAAAATAATCGATGACTATTGTTTGTAATATCTAAATGATTTGTTTGGAATTAAATTGATTATTTTACGATCCGAGTTGAATGTTGCATCTTTCTGAATTTGTATGGACGCTACGTTCTTCGGTATTAGTCGTTTTTAACGATGTTTTCCTTATAGACGCAACAGATAGAAGTAATATTAGTAGCAATCAAAAGCGCTTATTTTTCGCCGCAAGCCTATACCCGCTTTCATTTTTCGCGAACACTCCCTTTAAGAAACTCTTAATTAAGCTTACATGTAAAGATTAAAATTATTCACTGAGATGAATATGAATTGTAAGATTAAGATCTGATTATTCTAACTGATTAAACTCAAACCTACGAAATTCAAATATCAATAAATTAAATTTTGAAAGTTGATAATAATGAAACAAAAATTAAGAATTTTACACACATTGTAACAATTTTTCATTTAAAAAAAACATGTTCTTTGTTAAATCTTCAGCAACATTTGATAAGGAGAGAATCCTGTAAAAATATCTTTTATCAAGAATTAAATCTTTTTACAGCGCTGAGACATCATTAAAACTTATTCATGATAAATGTAGCTATGTATTCAGTTAAATAGATTTGTAAATATCGGCATGGAAAGATTTCTGAACCTCTCGTAAAAGACTTCTTTTTTAATTCTTTTAATTGTCTTTTTTTATGAGTTATTAGAATTAAAAACACATTTATGTTATAAATATGACGGATAAATATTTAAATGATACCGTTGTGAAAAAGGAATGCTCCTTTTTAACTTGAGTTTCACTTGAAATTAAACGAAAGATTGTCACGCTCTTCAAAATTAGTGCTTTTTTCACCGATTGAAGCATTTTCAAATTTTTTGGCTTGGTTGATGAAAAGTTTAAACCGATTTCATACTCTAACAAATATCTTTTCAAAAAACGTTTTGCTGTTGATTTGCTTATTTTACAAGGAATATTTAATATTTTTAAGACGGATATTTTGATACCCATTTTGGTTTATTTTGACGATTTTTTTCTGTTCTACAAAAAATACAAACGTGTTTTGATTTACTCAAAAAAAAGTAAAAATTAAGAAAACAAATTTAAAAAAAACTTTTGAACGGTGTAAGGCGGATTTGGACATTTTATCCAAATAAGTGTCCCAGTTTCACCCTTAATATAATATTTGTTGCAAGCTTGTGAATAGGACTTTAATACAGAACAATGTTAATATTCTATGCATGAATTCTGTTCCTGACGAGGAATAAAATTAAATAGATAGATTTTATTATAAAAGGGACTGCCACAGTAATTGTACAACAATACCAGAAACCATCTTTGAAATGAAAAACAATAACTTTAAATAAATAAATATGTTAACCAAAATTAAACTTAAAGAAATGTTGGTGAACTTTTTATTTTACTAAAAGTTTGCATGAAAGACAAATCACATAATAAATCCTGTTATTCACTAAGAGCTGTTATATTTTTATATAAAAATTGAAATTCCGACCTAAACCGAACTTGACACAAGATTCTGGATTAAAGCTTTAACCCTATATCTCTGCTGGGTGCAGTATAACCATGTACAGGGTTACCCACAAAGGATGAGACTGTAAAGACGACCCAAAACTCTTAAAATATGACGATTTGAAGCTAGGTTTTTAGTTTCTGCACTTAATTGAGTATTTTGATGGCTTACTAATTGATTTAGCACAGAAAAAAAACAGTTTTGGCCTACACGAACCCAGAATGGAAGGAAATGGACTAAACAAATTCCCTACATCGTCTCTGAAGGATCATCATTTATAGGTATTCCTGTAGTCCGTTTATTTCACATATCATTGCATTATATAAAGCTCTTATGCAGGCTTTATATTTGTTTCTTGATATTCGGTATTATGAATACAACGATATGATTTCTTGATATTCGGCGTTAATAAGACAACGATTTGATTTCTTGATATTCGGCATTATGAAAACAACGATATGATTTCTTGATATTCGACATTATGAAGACAACGATATGATTTCTTGATATTCGGCATTATGAAGACAACGATATGATTTCTTGATATTCTTGATATTTTACTTCGGATTAGTTGCAGCCATTGCCACTTTCTTTGGAAAAGGACCTTTACCTTATGTATTAAACCCAGATTGACCGCAAGTTTTCTATCCACCAACAACAGGTCTAGAGTGTGAAGTTGAAGCAGTATTTTCTAGAAACAAAAGAAAAAATATCGTTTGTTATTTAATTTTTAATAAAAAAGTATGGAATTGATGATAAAACAAAGATCAATATCATAGGGCAGAGAGGTAAAATCCAGAGTAAAATGACACTGCTGACCTCTATTTTACCTCCAGGTAGAATATATACCTGTATCCTGTGCTGCATAGCAGAACTGACCGCTAGTTGACCTCCTGGTAGAATATATACCTGTAGTCCTGAGTCATGTACTGTATAGCAGAACTGACCATATAATTGACCTCCATTTAAAATATATACCTGTATTCTGTGCTGTATAGCAGTACTGACCGCTAATTGACCTCCAGGTAGAATATATACCTGCATCCTGTGCTGTACAGCAGTGCTGATCACTAATTGACCTCCTGGTAGAATATATGCCTGTATCCTGTGCTGTATAGCAGTACTGACCGCTAATTGACCTCCAGGTAGAATATATACCTGCATCCTGTGCTGTATAGCAGCGCTAATCACAAATTGACCTCCAGGTAGAATATATACCTGCATCCTATACTGAATAGCAGAACTGACCGCAATTTTACCTCCAGGTAGAATATATACCTGCATCCTATACTGAAAAGCAGTACTGACCGCTAATTGACCTCCAGGTAGATTATATACCTGTATCCTGTGCTGTATAGCAGTACTGACCGCTATTTGACCTCCAGGTAGAATATAAAGCTCTCTCATTCTCCACATATCTTCAACCAGTCTGTAAAATTTAATGTGATACATTTCGTGTAAATATATAAAATTTACATTTAAATAAAATTAATTTTGAGACCAATCATTTTTAGGTTTCTTTCAACTGGGTCCAGTTTTAATTGATCACTAAATTAAAAGAGTCAGGAACTTTAGAATCAAATAAATCTATTTAAATCAATTACATTTCATTTAAAAGTTCCACCTTCTTATCCATCAAATAAAAATTGGCCAGAAAAAAACAAAGAGACCAAGACGAAAATATAACCAACCTAAGTAGAGGTTCAAGTTTTCCAAGTTTAGATTCTCTCTTTCTCCTGTGATCCACTATTACCCAGAGATCTGTACTGTTTCCGTCCTGTCCTGCTCCAGGTACAGTTTCCCCCGGACTCAGTTGCCTAGAGGAAAGGTTTTATTTTTCTGTTTTCTATAAAAAAAAGGAAGGGAATGAAGGGGAGTGGGTATTGTAGGTTTTAAATTATGTATTTTTAAGAAATATTGGATTTTTTCTAATTTTCAATTTTTAAATTTTTTTTTAAAATATCCCTCCCCCTTCTGTATCTGATTTTCATAAAAATACTGTTTTCGCCTAGCATATAAATACATTAAAATGCAAATTAGAAATCTGGTTGAATTTTAATATGTAAACAAGCTTTCTACCAAATAAACAGCCTTTCCATCTAACTCACGAATATTAAAAAGGGAATTGGTCACATTCATAAAGAAGTCAAAATAAAGCTTTAAGCTTAGATATCGAGAAACTACACGTCAAACACAAGTATTATAAGAAATATATATTTTCAATTAATATCTAAGAGATATTTAGAAGAACAAAAATGTTTTAAATTTTTCATATGTAACCGGAAAGATTACTCGTATTTATTTATCATACAGGAATTGAGTCTTTGCAACAAACTCTGATTTCTTAATCCCTATATCTTCACAACCCAATATAGTAGACCTTAGATATTTCAAACTATGAATTCTGTTGGATCAAAGAATCTAAGTTTGAAATATCAGAAGTTTACGCCCTAAGATTGCAAAGATATAGGGATTATAACTCTTTTGAGTCTGTGGCAAGAACTCAATTCCATTGACCTTCAGTGGGAAGAAACATGCGTCATGCAGTTGTTTAAATAAAACAGTACTCGCTTTAAACTTTAATTTTCTGAATTAGAAAATTTAAGTTTAAGGAAAGTAATTATATAGTTCCTTAAAAAATTTGTAAATTTTGATATATTCATATATTAAATCTCTGTACCTTGTTTCTTGAATATTATTTTGAAGCATTGTAGAGAGAAGTTGAAGTGTTACCAGGGAGCAGGATGTTAATAATTCAGGAGGTAGGAGGCATACATCATCACATCTCTATTTATATATATATGTACAAAACTATAAAGCAATAATCAGATCAGTCTCAGTTTTCTATATATATAGATTATATTTAAGATAAGAAGGATTCAACACTTGAATTTAGTTTTTATTGTATTGACATTATGTTTCATGCTATCAATATATATTATAGTTAGATACATCATCAAATTTCTAGTGTTTTAACCCTATGTATTAGAGATGTCAACGTATTAAATATTGTATTAAATAAAACTTGAATAATATTAACAATTAAGTGAAATAAATTTAAAATATTGTTCCACATGCAAAAGTGGTTTGCCTTGCCGAATTTTGAGCCATTTTATGAAGTGACCCAGAAACTGTCTATCGTTTTAGCTTGTCAAATACACTTTGATAATTTCAAGAGATCCTCCATTTAAAGAGGGCTATGCCCTATTCTCTTTGATATTCTTTATACCTTTATCTGATTGATAATTTGAAAATTCCACAGTTTTCCTGCTTGTATAATAATAATAATATTAATCAACATCTTAATATTGATGCACTCTTCTACACATTCTTTAAAAAGATCAACAAATACAACAGTAACTTACAGTGTGAAAAAAGGGATTAACGACACTAATTATGTGCATGGTTCATGTTTAAGGATGAAAATATGGAAATAGAAATGCAAATATTAAGGAAAACATCTTGTAATGTTTTCATGCAAAACCGTAAGGGACCTTGCTTTTTTACCAACATATATTAAAGCTTAACTTTGTATAAGGTATTCAAGTGCAGAAAATTCATGACGTAACCTTGGTCTATCCCATATACAATTACAATACAAGCATAGATTAAAAAGCAAAAAGGTATACACATATATTTCAATATAATATGTTCTTTTAAATCAAGTCAAAGTATCCATGTTCTATATAACAGGACTTTTATATTACTAAAACGTTTTCCATCTAAAACCGTATTAAATATGTACACCTGTTAGGTGAGCAAGGCTAATAATGTTGAATTCTTTTGTTGCAGATTTTTCATTTTAAAATAGATATTTATAGACTTTTGCTAGTTTGATAAATGCAACTTCCTTAATAATTGAAAGCTTTGATTTAAAGTGGTTTTCGCGAGTAAAACAATGAGTGTTTGGAAACCAAAAGATCAAAAATATGTATTAATTATTGCTTTTAAATATCTATCCAGTAAACAGGGCTTATACCAATAAACATGGAAATTAAAAGACGACTTCTATTTCGTCTTTGTTCCATGGGGATTATTTCGTAAACACAATTTTGTAGTATCAATTTTTAAAACATCGGGAATCAAAGACGATATTCAAGTCGTCTCTCAATTCCCATGTTTATTGGTACACCCTGTGTAAAATGTGGGAGGTGTGTATATATCTTTTCATTGCTTCTTTCATTTCAACAAGCTTGCATCTAATTATGTGTTCCGGAAATTGAAACTTACAAGTTAAAAGTTTCATTTTAATGTAATTCATTATTATACTCGCACATTTTTTAGGTTTTGACTTGGGCAAGAAAGTTAAAATCGTCGTTTATTGTTATTATACTTTTGCAAATTAGCTGTTAACAACTTCTAACATTTAGTTCGGCAAAACTCTCATACTTAATCGAATTGTTGTTAAATCTTTATAAAAATTATTTTGGGTTAATTTAAATATTTCTGTACCTGTAAGAGAACCTCCAACTCCTTTTGTGCATTGAACAGAGCGTTCTCCGTCAGCCTCGAGGTTTTCTCTCTCATTTCATCCTCAAGCTGGTTCAACCCATTCTCATAGAGGTCATTCTCCAGTTTTGGAACGGGCTCCACATTTACAACTTTTCTGATTCCAAAATGTACAGAATTTTGTACTGTGGACTTTTCGTATGCTTGCTGTGGTCTGGCGGAGTTCATTTTCAGTTGAGTGTTTGCTGAATAGTTGGCAGGGTGGTCGTTACTCCCAACTACAGGGCTGCTACGACCATAAACATCTTGCATAGTTCCATAACTATCTCTGACCTGGTCCGTAAACAGTTCTAAGACACAAGAAAGTTATTTTTAATTCATTTTCATCTCAACAAAAAAGATTTTTAGTTGAAACAAAATTGAATTTTCCTTTATGTGATATGTAATAAGATTGTGTAAATAAGTGCTTGTAAGAAGAGTGCAGTCCAGATGCTTCAATATCTTGATATAATATTACTTTTTTCATATATCTATATAAAATGAGACTCAAAAAACTGTTGAATAGGAAAAGTCAAAGACTATTTTTAAGATTCAAATTGTGTAACTAAATTCTCCAATGAAACACCACAATTTCGCAGTGTGTAAACAGACACATTTATCTTAAGATTAACTAGTTGATTTTTAATCTATTGTTAAAACTATGCTTTATAAAAACATCTTATACACATAAGATTTCTTTAATGTCGTCTTTCTATTTGACAGTTTTATAAGGCTATTGTATAAAGTGTTCGGGTGTATGTTTGATAGTAAATGTAGTTCTTGAACAGTGACCGATTTGTCTCAAATTTTGATTGAAGAACTGGTTAAAACTACGGGATGTTCCGGTTAAAAATTTGATTTAATTGATCGACTTTTATTGCAGGGAAAGCTGGGTTTCTAAGCTAGTATGTTTAAATTGGCCCCTATGGGTGTGTCAATAAACTATGCTCAATTATAAAAATTTTAATTTAATCCACTATTTAACATGCGATATTTGATTATTAAAAGTGATAAAACTTTTACTTTATAATGTGAAAAGTGGATTTTTCTCCGCTGTGTGTTCTTTGGGTAAAAAGATAAAGGTTATTTTTATAATTAAATTTCCCCCTCCCATCTTCTCCAAACCAATTTATTTTTCAATCAGCTAAATTGTAAATTACTCTTTACCAAAAACAATAATATTTTTGAGAAATTTTAAATATTTTACGTTCAATATTACAAAAAAATCATTGCTAAAGAAATGACTTTTTGACACATACTTAAAATTACAATCCCAATATCTGTGCAACCCGATGTCGTAGAACTTTCAAACTGTGAATTTTGTAAGACAAAAAAACCTTAGTTTGAAATATCAAAGGTTTAAAACATCTGGTTTAAAGAAACAGGGATTACAAATTTTAGATTGTGGCAAAAACTCAGTTCCTTATTTATTCAATCATATTTGTACGAAGAAATATTATTTATATTTAAACCCTTAGAATTCTCCTGAAATCATCTTTTATAAAATAATATAATAAATTGTATAATACAAGAACCAAGAAAATGCATCCAAATATTATTAATAATATATAAGCATCAGATATGCTAGATAAGAAAAGTTTACTAAAAGCTGATAACTCTTTGTTAACTATTGTTTGTAAGAAGATAGCAGATCCAAAAAGGACTGTGATTCCTGTGATAAAGGTATTTTTTTTGAAAAGTTACACGTCTTTTAAAGGAACTGTAGACGTAATAATTAAGTGAACCTCATGCCGATTCACAAAGGTACTCTTTAAACCTGTGTAGGTTAGAGGATAACAAAGATATCCTTATTTTACTATTTGAAAACTAGAGCCAGGAAACTCAAAGTTCATGTCGGTGCACATTTGAGTCTCTCAATAATCAATTTCCAGCGTGAAAATAAGGTTTTGTTTCCGTCATTGATTTTCTTATTTATTTTCTTATTTATACGTAATTTTGCTTTGACTTAAAAACGACATCAATTATTCCAACTACTTTTGGGTTTAAAGATTGATAATTTTAACTTTTTTAAAATGTTTCCAAATTTCCAAATAATTTCTTGTATTACCTTGACAAAACCCTTCAGTCTTGTTATTATGGATCGGATAGATTTTTATTGGTGAGGTAAAGTTAGCAGATAGTTTTGGGGAGATGGGTCGATGTCGCAGAGTAGAGGGTGAGACGGGTCGCTGTCGCTGGGCAGAGGGTGAGACAGGTCGCTGTCGCAAGGTAGAGGGTGAGTTTGGTCTTTGTCGCAGAGTAAAGGGAGAGTTTGGTCGCTGTTGCAGAGTTACGTCGGATTTGACAACTTGACTTTGAACAAAATTTGGCATTGTTGAAATAGTTTTAGTTTGATCTGGGGGCTGGATATTTACAGCTTCCGGAGGGGGCAATCCACTTCCGGTCCGCTCACCTGGCAGGACTGCACTTCCGTTTACACTAGAAAAATTTAAAATATAAACCATGACTAAAAAACACTTTGACATTTTCACTAGTGATATTTGTATATTGTTTGAAATATCAAATATTGAACAAAATTGTTTAATTATTAAAACCTTTGTTCGTGTCACTATCACGTGGTGAATATAGATTTTTCAAACCATTAAGTCATGATCTATTTTAATTGATTTATATTTCAAGTTTTTTACCTAATAATAGGAACTCTGGATGGCGGGGAAGCCCCAGCAGATTTTGACTGTCGTCTTTTAGTTTTTAATTTTAATTTTTTTCTTGGCAATCTAAAACAAATGGTTTAAGTCAAGGAATAAAAGTGGTTTGGAACTGCCATAAAGATATGTGTACTGCAGTTTCTGGAATGTAAACAAAGCTTAGCATTGGCAGCACTGCGTGTTTTAACATCCCTTCCAGAAACTGCAATACAATGCTTTTTATGGTATGATATCTGCTTAACATACATAAATACATATTAATATGCATATACACAGAACAAAGATTAGAATAGAAGGGAAATAAGAATATCCCTCGGAATGAATTTGTATAGTCCCTTTGAGCCTGAAAAGGAGTTCAAAGTGTACAATTCATTAACTATTTACAAATTATACATTATTTTTATATACATGCAAAGTCACCATAATACATTATGATCCTTAGATTTATCCGTTCCAATTTCTTATTTTTATAAATTTTATGGAACGATCGGAAATGTAAAGTAAAGCTAATGCTGAACTTAACTCGGTATTGCCTGACAGGTTGTCAGAGAATTTATTTAGAGAAATTTTCAAGAACCTTGTTCTATTAAAAGATGGTTCATACCACAAATGTGTATTGTACACCTGCAGTATGAAAACAATACAACAAAATGGCGGTATTACACTTTTTTCGACTTAAATCCGCTCTATATATTATCTATTCTCTTTGGATATATATGATCGATATCAATGGTCTAGAACAAGTGTCTTAAGCTGTATTTGTAAATATGTAAGAGCTTCAAAGTATGGCCTTTGAGAAAACTAATATTAATTTAAGTGTTGCTTCGTTTCTGTAAATATTTAAACGGATAAATTAGCTGAAAGTTATTTTGGTCCAAATCTAAAACTTTCTTACAATGAGACCCAGAAAACAGTGGAAAGAAGACTGACTTTGGAACTCATTTTCACCCGTTAAATGGACACTTTTGCTTTTTTATAATTTCTAGTTGGACTATATATTTTAGTTTAACCGACATATTTTAAAATAGAGATAAAATATCACTAAAAATATGTCGAAAGAGACAGGATGTACTTCGTTATATGTTAATTTTACGGACACTATATATTCCCTAGGCGTTAACCATTGGTCAATGTTATTGGCCTCGGAAATAATATTCTTAACAATCCCTTTAAATTATTTTTTAAATAATTACTTTGGAATATTTTCCAGATCTGTTGAAGTTGATCTGGCAGCAAACCTTTGCTCCAGCTGGGCCAGGTAAACTGCTCCACGGTTCTCATAAGCCTAAAGTTTACAAAATTAAACAAATTTTAAGAAATCTAACAAATCTAGAATTTTTTTTAAAAACTTAACAAATTTTACAAGATTAAACAAAATATAAAACTTTTTTTATTGAAACAGAAAGAAACTTGTAATTTCTAAAAAATCTCAAAAAACATGTTTTGAAAATATGTTTTCAATTAGACTTTACAACCATAATATTATTTGGAAAAGTTTCTAGAAAAATCTTTTAATTATTTTAGTTTCTTCATTTTTCAATATACAAAATATTATGTGCCGCAAACAGGAGTGTACATTGTTCACTGTACACAAGGGACTGGATGAACTGGATCAGTAAAATGTATAGTTTCTAGAAGGTTTTTAGGTCCCAACCAGCGGTATAAGCCCCCTTTCCCCCTGGACATTGGACAATTACTTGTACTTTATCGCAACATCATTGACTTTTAGAATAATGTTGAAGCTTAATTGATTGATTTATTGATGATTGATTATATATATTACTAACTACCTGGATGTTCGCCCCAGGTTTTATGGCCGGTTCCTTGTACTGTACAGTGCTGGAACCACCGGCAAGCAAGGGAGATTGTAATCCTATAATAGTAAACTGGTTTTAGAGCTCAACAATTTACAAATTTGAGAAATAAAAGATTTTGTGAAGAAGAAGAGATATTTTATAAAAAATAACTTTTTGAATTTTAGAAACAATACGTCTACCCCTGTTATTCGTTAATTGGGAGAGGGATCTAACCTTATTTTATAGTTTCCCTTGGTATGTATTATTACACTTCCTCACTAATCTTTTATTAGATTAGCCCATCTCACAGTTGTAGAAACTTTTTACATTGTTTCCACAAGTACAAACCCCTCCCTGATGAGACGTTTGTACGGAATTTATATCGTCTGTTTCGATTATCTACAACTAAACTAAAAACTTGTTTCTTCTTTTGCCCAATCACTAATAGTTCAAGCAAAAGGCGGAATTAAGCCTTGGAATCTTCATATTTACAGAGTTTTTTGTTGTCTTCAAGTAGAATCCTTTAATAATGGACAAAGGCCCTTCTAATAGATCACACTTCTCTCTTATTGTGGAAGAGTTTTTAAGTGCTAAATATACCTGCAGCTACCCGTTGTATCTCTCTGACCCTAGCAAGGCTCTGGTAAGCATCTTTACGCAATATTATATCATCCTCAGGTGGTAACCGAACACCCTTAAAAATTGAAGTAAACATGTCATCTATATTTACTTTGCTTGTCCGTCTAGCTCTGGTATCCATTAACGGTCAGAACGGCTGAAACGATGGGGCTAAACAGTTTGAGGCAGCTCACACTACCCAAGGAACGGTTTAAGGATGCTCAGAATTTAAAAAATTTGTCTGTAAAAAAATTAAATTTTCGTAAAATCTTGAAAATCCACAAAAATTTAATAAATTCTCGACTGCTTATTTTTTATTGCAAGAAGAGAAAATTCTCACAGAAATTGAAATCAAAAGTGGCGCGGAGATCCCGGAAAGCCAAGTAAACAATTAAAATAAATTGTATAAATTCAAATGAAAATGATGATACAAATACTACACTTAAAAATTAATAATGATATTAACTATCTAAATTCTACCTGTATTTGATTTGTTGGAATTGAGGCAACCCTAAAACTTGCTGGAGATCGGCTTCCTTGCATCATTTTTTAAAACGTACTCAAAGTTCAAAATTGAGATTCTTAAATTCTAATAAAACATTTCAAACTGAAGAACCTATTGATTCTTATTTTTAAAGCGTTTTCTATTCCGCATTCTGAAATGTGTTTGCATAGTATTATATTATTTGTGAAGTTCGCCAATTTGTGTACTATGCATGTGACGAAAAAATGCAAACTTTGAGACTTTAGGGTTGTGTATAACTGTTTGAATTAAAGCTTATGGTTGTGTATTATAGAAATTATGCGACTATATATGGTTTGTACTATGTGCTGTGTAACTGGTTGTGTGCTATGTGCTGTGTGACTATATGGTTGTTAACTATAGACTATGTGACTGTATGGTTGTGTACTATAGACTATGTATCTATATGGTTAGGTTCTGGGAACTGTATGACTATATGGTTGTGTACTATGTACTGTGTGACTATATGGTTGTGTACTGTGAACTGTGTGACTATATGGTTGTGTACTGTGAACTGTGTGACTATATGGTTGTGTACTGTAAACTGTGTGACTGTATGCATGTGTACTGTTAACTGTGTGACTATATGGTTGTGTATTGTGAACTGTGTGACTATACGGTTGTGTACTGTAAACTGTGTGATTATATGGTTGTGTACTGTGTACTGTGTGACTATTTGGTTGTGTACTGTGCACTGTGTGACTATATAGTTGTGTACTGTGAACTGTGTGACTATATGTTGTGTATTGTAAACTGTGTGATTATATGGTTGTGTTCTGTGTACTGTGCGACTATATATGGTTGTGTACTGTGAACTGTGTGACTATATGGTTGTGTACTGTGTACTGTGTGACTATATGTGTAGACTATATGGTTGTGTATTGTGAACTGTGTGACTATATGGTTGTGTGCTGTGAACTGTGTGACTATATGGTTGTGTACTGTGAACTGTGTGACTATATGGTTGTGTACTGTGAACTGTGTGACTATATGGTTGTGTATTGTGAACTGTGTGACTATATGGTTGTGTACTGTGAACTGTGTGACTATATGGTTGTGTACAGACTGAAAGCTAGAGAAAGCCTCCTTGAAAGATCCTCCATCGATCCTTTTATAATTTTCTCTTTTCCTCCAGAACATAATATAGGAACCATCTCATGAACATATTGGAATAATCTACATTCAAGATGAAATCATGTGACATAAACAAGATTCTACAATAAATGAGTCACAAACACGTTTGCGTCCTAGACAATACTGCTAATAATTCAAATGTATCATTATTCATTAAAGAAAAGGATGATTTAATACAATAATTGTTTTCCCTAATCAAAAATATAAGTAGCCTGGTAGTATGTATAAAATTTAGTATGATTTAAGGTAATGCTTTTGGAAGTTATTTTTATGTTAAATAACGTACGCAAAGCCTGAATTTCTGTATTCCTAATGAAAATTCATAGCTACCTTAATCTACAAGTTTAAAAAAGGTATATCTAACTGATAATATATCCATATAAGGTCTGCAAACAGACCTTTGTATCAAACTACCAAATATGGGCTTACAAGCAGTTTAACAAACTTCAGATTCTGTTCCATGCATAATATGCCTATTTTTTCATTCATTCATGCGCCGTCAATTTTCAATTCTATAATTTATTCATTTATCTATTTCATCTTCGATCATATATCTATCGATGCATTTATCATTATATTTTCTATATGTATATTTATTCATATTTCTATCTTTTATATATGTTACATGTATCTATTTATTCATCTATCGTTCTTTATTCTATATTTTGATCTGTGTACTTGAATATTGTGCTAAGCAAGAAGCATTATCTCTTTATCTGTCTTCTTTATATCTCCATCTATTTATTTTTATATATATCTCTATATATCCACATATCTTCTAAATAGCCACCCACAAATATATATCTTCCATCAATCTATTTGCTTTTTTAATTCAATTTTTTTGCTCATATATATAATTGGCCGAACGGCTGGACCAAATTGGCTGAAATATTTTTCTCCGATTTTAAGGAAACCCAAGGGTGGCATAGGCATAACAGTTTTGATATCTTGTTTTCAAAATTAAAAATTTCACAATTTTTCTTTCAATGAGCAACGCCGGGCTAATCTTATATATATATATATATTTGTCTATCTTCTATTTTTCTATCTATCTATCAGTCTTATATCTATCTATCTATCCATTAGACTAATGAAATGACAGATTTAGAGTTGATGAAGGTTTTTGTATCTCAGTAAAACAAAACAAAACATTCATTTGCATATCTTTAAATCATTCAACTTATCCATACAATATACAAACAATTCACGATGCTCCCCACACCCTCAACTTCGGTTCATTTGAAGTATCGTGCCGACTTATAGGCAGCTAGAACGTTAGTGCACACATGAGTACTCTATAGACAATAATAAGTTTACCAAATGAGTAATCTAATTCTAAAGGGTGGCCGCAAAAAAAATCTGTCTTTTAAGCCTTAGATCCTGAAACCATTGATAATTGAACAAAATTAATCCTTAATCTTACAATAAACCACAAAATATGGTAATATGATAAAAAGTTTTGCTTATCAAGTCAATCTTTATGAATATATATAAAGAATTCTTGTCAACTGTGGTCCTGCAAATTCTATGGATTTGCAGGCAGCTAGGCTATTGATACCACTTTGACCGGCTCAAAACTTCACATTTTTCATCAGAATGTATCATGGAATATTTTATTTTCTTTTATAGTCCATGAACTATTATTTTTAACAATTTTTAGAGATTTTGCAAAATAGCTTTTTGTAGGAGGCCATAATAGTAAAAAGACAGGTTTTTTTGCGTCCACTCTTAACCCTATAAAGGCTGGGGGGGTCTGAATCCTTAGAGTATAGGTATAGGGTTGAAATGCATGTGCATAGCCCAATTTGCCAATGCCAGCTCATTGAAAAAAATTAGACCGATAACTTTAATAGTTTGGATGCTATGGAGGGTTGAAAAAAAACGCCAAAAAAAGGGTCAGAAAAATGAAAAAGAAGATTTTTTGTTTTTAACTAGGGCTGGGCGCGTTAACGGTGGAACGATCGTTCTTTGCCGAGAACGAACGGAACGATCAAGAACGATCCCATCGTTCCGAAAAAAAACGAACGCTTAGAACGCGTTCTTAAAAATATTGGAACGATTAGTAAAAGAACGGAACGGAACGGGAATTGCTTGAAAAGAACGGTTAAAATCGTTAACGCGTTCTTATTATCAAGAACTTGTTCTAAGTTGGGAACGCATTTTAAATCAGGAATGTGTTCTAAATCATCTAGAAATAGTTAAAGATTTTTTTATTTAATCACTCGACCCCCTCCCCTCCCCCCCACTTTAAACCCCCCATACCCCCCCCCCTTCCCCGGTCTCTGCTAAACTGACAATACTCAGACTAAACAGCAGGTATCGTACATACATATTAAGGATATTAGCACTCCCGCCCCTCCCCCACGCTCTCACAAAATTATACATTGCTCAGAATTATCTAAGCTTATTCTTTTAACCCTAAATTTAAAATATATAATTTAAAGTATTATTTACGGCCGTGAGGAACTTTTTATTTAAAAATTGTATTTTTTTTACTTTTTAACCAACTCTTTTCTATAAAACTTTTGTCTTTGATGTAATTGTCCGTTACTAAGAACGGAACGGGGGATGGAAACGTTCTTAATTAAGAACAGAACGGAACGGAACGGGAAGACCGTTCTTCTACTCAGAACGGAACGGAACGGGACGGAACGGAACGAGAACGGAACGATAAAAAAAAGAGGAACGAGAACGGAACGATTTAGCTGAAGGCCCTCGTTCTAGAACGGAACGGAACGATTTCAAAAAAGTCGGAACGTGCCCAGCCCTATTTTAAACAAATATCAAAGTGTGACACATGTTTCTATATTCATTTTCCAAGTGCTTTTTAAAAATATAGTTTTTAGATATGCAGCTTTAGTCACAAAAAAAGTTATGGGTTATTTTGGATTTTTTTTCCAAAGACCGGACTTTTTTCCGCCCTGTACCAACCCAATGCATTAAAGAAAAATTACCAAAAATCCTTTAAATTACTATTCATTAAAAGTCACAAAATTTAGCGTTGATAGTGTCAAAAATGAGAGTGCTAGGACAAAAAACTACAGCCTGTTTAGGATTAAGCTGGAAAGCTTAATGCTTTTAGAGATTTTTTCGAGTTAAAAATTTGTTTTATTTATACAATGTTCGCCAGTCTTCAAATACCTCCTACATACATTTGGGACTACGTCAAACTAAAGTATTTTATATTAAAATCTTATATTTTTTTAATTATCACTTCACTTATTGTAGAGCTATTGAGCAGAACAAACATGTTTCGAGTTTCCAAAACGTCATTGGATAAAGGAATTGAGTCTTTGCAACAAATCCCAATTTTCTAATACCTTTATATCTACAACCAAATTATGTTAACCTCAGATATTTCAAACTTTGATTGTTTGATATAACAGAAGTCATAGTTTGAAATATCTAATGTATACAATATTGGGTTGTTAAGGGATTTAAAACCAGAGTTTGTGGCAAAGACTCAATTCCTTGTTTTTCTCATATTTATGTGTAAAATAAAAACTTGAGGGGTCAAGAGCTCACATTGTCAAACCACAAATTTGACCTTCTCGTTCTGTCTGGTTCCATGTACGACGAGGCATAATTAATAAATTTTTATTTATGCAAATTTTGTAATTTTAGTTTCATTGTTTCCATATTTGGAATGGTTTAGTTTTTTTTAATTATAACAAGTAATCCGCAAACTTTATCATTTATATATTAAACAATAACAAAATTTACAATAAATATTAAAATCTGCATGTGGTACTAGTTTTAACATCTTTAAAAAAAGAATAACTAGACTTTGCATTGCAAATAAAATGCATACATATATGCAAACGATTGCAAAGAAATGCATTTAAATGAAAAACGAATATTTAATATTATTAAAATTCTCTGGTAAAAGGAATAGAAAAGCTCTTTTTTATTATTGCAGATATGTTGTTAAAATAGTGAATTGAGAAGAACTAATGTTTGCATAGTTTTAACAGGTGTGTGATTGACATCATTTAGAAGAATGTCGACGTGATTTTTAGGCGACCTTTTATTCAAAAAGTGGCATGTCCGATTCACACAGGTTCCCGAAAAACCTCGTCTCGGTAAAATTGATTGAGATATCCTTGTTCTTCTGTCTAAACATTGATAGTCCTTGAAAAAAGTAGTATTGAAAAATGTAACACATCTTATTATTTGTCAAAAACAAAAGTTCTTAATTTATAACGATTTGTCGACATTTTGTAAACCTTTCTTAAACAATTCATTATAAAACTACGGGAAGAAAATGAAATACAATAGAAAACTACGAGTCAATGCCAGCCTATGCCATTCAATTGAATACGTTTTACAGAAACATTAAATAGAAAAAAAGTGTTTCCCATTCAGTTAATACCTTTATTTATGTTTCAGAGAAGATAAAGAAAGAAAATAATTTAACATTAAACATTTAAAACTTTTACATGACTGAGTTTGGTCTAGGATAGGTCATGACAGTATAACACATCATACATGCGTCGAAATAACAATTCTGCAAACCTGAAAAAATATCTAACTATCTGGAATTAGAATTTATATAATTTCTTTTTACTTAGAAGTCAATCTGTAATATGTAGAATCACAAGGAAACATCTCCCTCGCAATATTTATGAATTATTTCTTCTCTTGTTAATCTTCTTGGGCCTCGAGGCTTACCAAGGAAAAGGTCATGAGACAGTCTCTGCTCCTGGCTTGTGGATCGACCTGTGACCGGGGATAGCCTCCGCTCTTGACTTGAGGTTCGAGAGTAGTCCGGAGACACCCTTCGCTCCATGCTTGAGGATCTAGGATAGACTGGAGATGGTATTTTTGCCAAACCTGCATCTTCCATTTCATGATCAGAAATGCCGGGCTCCATCTCTAATTCCCTATTTTGTTTCCGGACTCTTTGCCCCGGCTCTGCTGGATTTCTAAACTCTGTTACTCCCTCGTGGTCCGCTGACCCACGTGGTTCTCTCTGCACACTAAAGCTCTGATCATGATTGGCCTCTCTATCAGATTCTGCACCTGGATGAACCTCAAGACCTTGATCATAGCCCTCCGAGGCTGGAAATCCTTTAGCTCGAGTGAGGATATACCGCTCAAAATATGGATTTAGCTCGTACTCAGTTTGATTAATTGATTGATCTTGATTGACCCTGTCCTCCACTGATTGATTACTACTCTGTCGAGATCTTTCTTGATATCTGTACTCTCGAACCTTAATAATCATAAACTTAAAGGGAATGTGCAAATGTAATTTGACCCTCCCTTTCATGTGGGATTTCCCCTTTAATCCTTTATCAGATCAATAATATGAAAGATTTTGTAGTTTTTCTGACGATAAAAGTGTTATTTTTCGCAATTCAACTTTACAACTTTTTACGAGAAAATCATTAAGGATTTGAGTTTTTCTAACAAACTCTGATTTTCTAATACCTACATTTTTTCCACCTGATTGTGTACACCTTTGATATTTCAAAATTGGATTTTTTCATCTAACAGAATTCATAGTTTGAAATATCTAGGGTCTGCGGCATTGGATTACAAAGATATAGAGATTAGAAAATCATAGTTTGTGACAAAGACTCAATTCCTTTGTAGAAAGAACAGGAATAAGGTTTTCAGGGTACGGACATGTCCCTTTAGAAATTGTGAGTTAGTTTAAATTATTTTTACAGTCTTTCAAATTATTTTTACAGTCTTTCAAATTATATTTTGTTTCTATCATATATTATTTGCAAATTTATCAAAAGGGCAGGAAAAAGTAAAAACAAATATTTCCTAGAAGATGCAAATCGCAAAGTCTTGTACAAATTCTCTACGAGTTTTGTACATATTTTAAACATTTTTTCATAGATTCTGTAAAAGTTTTGTGCAGATTTTGTCGAAGTTTTGAACACTTTTTTTGCAGATTTTGCCAGTAAGATGTAAATATGATGTGAATATTTAGAAAACTCTGAAAACTGTAATTAATGGATTTTAATCCAAGCTAGTTAAAAAAGATTTGGGTCGAAATAATTTAAATCAGGTTTTTTATCAATAGATTGGACAGGGAAAATATAGTCTAGATGTGTTTTTTCGCAATATCACTCTGCATAATGGTTTTTGTATGCAAAAATATAATTTTTTCTTTATAAAAAAATTCTTGTTTTTTATGATTGGTAATTAAAAGGCGATTTTTTGTAAAATATATATTTAAAAATTTGTTTAAAACTATTTAATTTATATTAAATCTATCTAACTAACCTGTGGGTCAATAGTTACACTTTTCACACTAGCCAAACTTCGACTACTCCTGTAGATAGATAGATAGATTATAGATAGATAGATAATTAAAAAGACAGATAGATAGATAATAATATACGTATATAGATAGATAAATAAACTTATAAAAAGATAATATTAAATGAAAAAGAAAAAAAGAAACAAATAAGAAGGAAAAAAAGGAAATGAGAAAAAACATTCAATAATAAAAAAAACAAAGATAGATAAAGCATATTAATCTCACAAGATTAAGGAATCCTTCATTTGGCATACATATCACGTTTTCCTCAAGTAGTCTGTATTTATAATGTACTGCTTGCTCAGGTTAGCTGAAGTTCGGCCCGGTACATAAAATGAACTGGAATGTACCGTGAGAAAAAAGGAAAGAAAAAAACAAAAGAAAATTTTAAATTAGTTAAACGGATAAAGCAATCTTTTCTAACCTGATTGTGTCGTTGTGTGATTGTTTGTCTGTGAATGAATGTGTGCGTTTGTTCCTTCTTGTTTTCAAGTTTGCTTTACTAAAACAACAATTATTGGCAAAATATGTAATAATTTTGTTCAGGGTCATTTCTATACAAGGATAGGTAATATCCAAGATAACACAAATAGAAAAATATTTATAGGCGTGCGCAGGGGATGGGCTATGGGGGCTCAGCCACTCCCCCCTCCCACCTTCTGAATCAGTTAAATCGATGGTTTCTTGAGGTTTTTGGTCCCCAATGTGCGATGAGCCCCTCCTAGAAAGAAAACATATTTAAGCCTCCCCCGGGACAAATTTTTAAAAACGCCCCTGAAGCGAATGTAGTTGTTTGGTTCTCTTTTTTTCATGCCTACATTTAATCAATCGTACAACCATTAAATCATATTGCTGATGATTCATAATAATGAAAATAATTAAAATCATATTTCTATATAGACCAGTCAGGAGTTAGGACCAGTAACATGATTCAGTATAATGAAAATAATTAAAATCATATTTCTATATGGACCAGTCAGGAGTGAGGACCAGTAACATGATTCAGAATAATGAAAATAATTAAAATCATATTTCTATACTGACCAGTTAGGAGTCAGGACCAGTAACATGATTCAGAATAATGAAAATAATTAAAATCATATTTCTATATGGACCAGTCAGGAGTCAGGACCAGTAACATGATTCAGAATAATGAAAATAATTAAAATCATATTTCTATATGGACCAGTCAAGAGTGAGGACCGGTAACATGATTCAGAATAATAAAAATAATTAAAATCAAAATTCCTTTTAGTAAAGTTGGAATAAATGGATTATAGAATTATAAACACAAAGTTTAGATCGATAACCTTGATAATTTGTTGTGAATAATAAATATTTAAATACACAGGTTTAAAAGTGATCTTTAAATAGACGTTTATGAAATTTGATTTAAGTCTTCACAATAATATAAAGGTTGCAAGCTCTCAGGCAAAATTGCTATAAGAATTTTGCCAATTACTTCCAAAAAATAAAGATTAAAAAGGACCGTGCAAGGTACTAATGCAAGGAAAGTTAATTGCAGTTGCGTATACTCTGCGTACATATTGAAACCAGTTCTCTTTGGGCGGAATTTGTAAACAAGAATAGATGCATCAGTGTTCGTTTAGTATCCGAGGAGGTTAAAAGCATTACATTTTGATAATTTTAATTTACATATATATTCCTGTAACCAGAATATTTCATTGATTTTTATGTAAAAGATGGATCCAATGTCAGGCTTCGACATCCGTCTTGCGTTTGCATTACCGCCCGGAGACAGTACACTGCAGGACAAAAGATGCGTACACCTCTGAAATAACTTTCCTTGCATTATAACCTTGGACCCGTAGATTTAGAAAATGTACTTATCTAGCACTACAAAAAAAGTGAGTTATAGTAAGGTAAAATAAAAGGCCAAAACTTTGCAACACTTCAAAGTAGACCAAAATATGAAAAGTCGTTCAACTTTTCATAGTAGTCTGGATCTATGTTTCTTTACTATTCGTGGAAAACCTTTATCTTTAGACATTAAAATAGTAATTATTCCTTGAGAAAAAAAATGTAAAACTTTGGAATTTTTTTTAGCTTGTTTTTTCCGAGAAGAAGGTTTTTTTTTGACACTCGTAGTTTAAACAAAAATAATTTGAAAAATTAAAAACTTTTGTAAGGGGTAAAAAATGGTAGATATTTTACCTTAATCTCGGTAGTGATTTGTACTCAATAACCTCCTTGGATGAATTATTAGAGTCAGTATCAAGTATGTACTCCATACTTCTGGATCTAGATACCTGGACATTAAATAATTAATTGATTTTCAAATATCTATATAAAAATTTGGCTTTTCTGTTTGTCCTCCTATCAATTTTGACTGATAAACCCCATCAAAAATTTGATAGAGTTTAATTAGATAGAGTTTGTAATTAGCAATACCTAATTATAGAACTGACTATAATTACTATTAACTAATTAGTATAGAGTGTACGCGTAAGCGTGTGTACTGTGGGTACTGGGTATTCGTAGACTACAATTTCAAACTCAAGGACACTAGAGAGAAATCTGACATATTGAACATAACTCGTTGGAATCCTTCGATCTCTTATGAACGAAAAGCTACAAATTTGAAATACTTAAGCTATTAATACTTGGCTTTAAGGACGCTTCGCGCCCATCTTCTATTACAAAAAATAATTGTGACTCAATCTGAGAGCATTTTACTATGTACAATATAAAACTATAACAAAAAACCTTCCTGGGGTAATGTGAGTTGCCTCAAAATGTTGGGCCCAATCGGTTCAGCCGTTTTGACGTTTATTGGTCAAAAACAAACAAACGAACACCCAGACAAGCAAAGTATATATATAGAAGTAAAGAAGGAAAAGGATTTTGGAAATGGTAATTCAATATAATTGATCTTTGATGCAATAAAAGGGATCTCCGATGCAATGTTTAGGGGGTTTATCCGATCCAATATATGGGGCTAGCTCCGACAACCTTGATTTTTGTTGAATATATAGAAGGGCGAGAAGTGAAACATTTGTCTTATTCATTTAGAACTTTTAAAACAAAATCATAATTTTCTAAATTTTGAATTTTTATTTGTACGAAATAAAACCCATACAACTGTAAACTGTGGAATTTAGGAGAACCATTGTCAAACTCCAGTTTATGATTTTTAAATACTCCATGAGCATGAAACACGGCAGCTGTGCAGTGTACACAGGCCCGATTTACTCAATAAATTGATTTTAAATTTAATTAAACAACTATTTGCTGTTTAATCGCCCAAAACTAATCTCTAGATGCGTATTGTGGTGATTTGCAGTTCACTGGTCAAAAATATATAAAGTTGGTGTTTAGCGGAGAACAAAGCTTATATATATAATGTAAAATGGTTAGTGTAAAGTGTTACCTGGTTAGAAAGGTTCGGAAGACCAAGATTCAATGAAAATTCTTGAACTTTGTAATGTTTCGTGGGAAGCTCTGTTTTATCAATATCATTCATGGATCTAAACAATTTTAATAGATTATTTTTTTAAATCAAAACGTAAAATTTAAACGCTGATCATGTTATGGGAACTGTAAAGTGTTTTTTTACTGTTTCGCAAACGCAATACGATTGGTAAATAACTATCATTTTGATAACTATCATTGCACGCAGATTTAAGCTAGTTTGGTCGTTTTCCTATCAAGCTGTGATCACAATTTTATTTTTTACGCAAAATATTTACCTTTTTCTCTTTAATATTTTTATGTCGGCCTATGCCTTTAAAATGGAATGGTATATAAAACTATAGAAAAAAGGCGATTCAATTCAAATCTATAGAAGAAGCTGAATGCATCTCGCCAGCCGGTTTGTCAAATAGATGTTTGAAAAATTTTCTAAGTAACACGTATGAATAAAATGGAAAAAAACAGGTCATCGTCGCGCCATTCAGTCGATTTATCAATAATGACCCAATTTGTATAAGATTATTTCCGAAAATTAAACTATATATTTTATATGCAAGAATCACTGTATACGTATTATTAGAACCGTAAATCAACTCAAGGTGAAACTAAAACAATGCCAAATAATCAACTAACCTCAAACTTGTCCTGCTGCTCAAACTTGCCAAACTTCTTGTACTCTTCACAGTACCACTCTGACATTTCCGCGGGGTGCTACTTTTTATACTTGATGTTGAAGACCATCTAGCGGCAGTTTCTGGAATTAAAGATTTTTCCGCGCCCTGTCTGATAAACCACTGATCCACCAGTATCCACAAGAAAATAAATAATATTCCGAACACTAAAACAAAAAATTTAATTAAATAATGAAAATTTTTAAAAAATTAAATAAAATATATAAGAAAAGTAACGAACCTATAAGAAATAATGACAAAGCAGCTTTCAAATAATCTTTTTCCTCCACCAGAATGGTGTAGTTGATTATCAAATAAAGGCCTAAAATATATCTATATAATTTGTTATTTAGATATTTATGTTTATACTGTGGAAGACGATGCCTGGCCACGTNTGTTTTTATTATTACTATTACTATTACTATTTTTAATTCATTTTTATTGGTTCAGAGTTCTATTTTCCACTCTCTATATAATGAAAGTTTGATAGAAACTTAAATTAAAAAATTGATTTTAGATTTGCAACTTTGTTTTAAATGTTAAACTTATTTGATTTTGACATTAAATTATATTTGCATAGCCATTTTAATTTATATTGATTTAGTAACTTTTCTTGTGCTTCAACTTTAAGCTAAATATAAAACTCTTAAAAATATAGATTAGAATAAATTTAAGATTGAAAAAAAAGTTTTTGCTAAAATTGTTGCTGTTTTGATAAAAGGTACTATATTGATACTTGTATTGATGTTATGATGAAAAGTACCTTCTACTAGGGCTGGGCAAAGTTCCGTTAACGAAATGAGGTTTTCGAAAATTAACGGAAGAGTCCGGTAAAGAGCGGCAAAATCCTTTAATTTGTTAAATTGTTAACGAAACGGATTAGCCGTTTTTGAAAAAAAATTAACGGTTAAAAACGTTAGCTAAAAAGCTAAAAACGGTAAATTTCGTTATTTTCTGATTAAAATTGCATGACAATTTTTTAAAGATTGAAAAATTAACGCGTTTTGATGTTTTTAAATGTCGTCATCTAAGTTTGTAGACCGTTAACGAAAATTGTTTAGCCGTAAATGACGTTAATACTGTAATATACCGTTAACGGCTGTGTCGTTAACGATTTTTTTAACCGTTAATAAAATTTTTTGGCGCTATGTTAGTTTTTTAATAACGGTACCATTAACAATTGTTGAAAATTTTCCATTGACGCCGTTAGTAAAATTGAGATTGTTAACTAACAGTAATTTAAAAAAGAACTGAAGAAACGTTGTGTTGTTGTTATGATGAAAATTACCTGCTACTAATGATGTTGTTCTGATAAAAATTAGTTGCAACTAATGTTGTTGTTATGATAAAAATTATCTGCTACTAATGTTTTTGTTATGATGAAAATTACTTGCTACTGATGTTGTTGTTATGATGAAAATTACTTGCTACTGATGTTGTTGTTATGATGAAAAGTACCTGCTAGTAATGTTGTTGTTATGATGAAAATTACTTGCTACTGATGTTGTTGTTATGATGAAAATTACCTGCTACTAATGTTGTTGTTATGATGAAAATTACCTACTACTAATGATGTTGTTATGATGAAAAGAAGTTGCAACTAATGTTGTTGTTATGATAAAAATTACCTGCTACTAATGTTGTTTTTATGATGAAAAGTACCTGCTACTAATGTTGTTGTTTTGAGGAAAAGTACTTGCTACTGATGTTGTTGTTATGATGAAAAGTACTTGCTACTGATGTTGTTGTTATGATGAAAAGTACTTGCTACTGATGTTTTTGTTATGATAAAAAGTACTTGCTACTGATGTTGCTGTTATGATGAGATTGTTAACTAACAGTAATTTAAAAAAGAACTGAACAAATGTTGTGTTGTTGTTATGATGAAAATTATCTGCTACTAATGTTTTTGTTATGATGAAAAGTACCTGCTACTAATTTTGTTATGATAAAAAGTACTTGCTACTGATATTGCTGTTATGATGAGATTGTTAACTAACAGTAATTTAAAAAAGAACTGAACAAACGTTGTGTTGTTGTTATGATGAAAATTACCTGCTACTAATGTTGTTGTTATGATGAAAAGTACCTGCTACTAATGTTGTTGTTATGATGAAAAGTACTTGTTATGATGAAAAGTACCTGCTACTAATGTTATTGTTATGATGAAAAGTACTTGCTACTAATGTTGTTGTTATGATGAAAATTATCTGCTACTAATGTTGTTGTTATGATGAAAAGTACCTGCTACTAATGTTATTGTTTTGATTAAAATTACTTGCTACTGATGTTGTTGTTATGATGAAAAGTACCTGCTACTAATGTTTTCATTATTATGAAAAGTACTTCCTACTGATGTTGTTGTTACGATGAAAAGTAGTTGCTACTAATGTTGTTGTTATGATGAAAAGTACTTGCTACTAATGTTGTCATTATTTTGAAAAGTACCTGCTACTAAAGTTGCTGTTATGATGAAAAAATGAACTATTAACCAAGGAAGAAGTAGAAATCTTTGTCTAAACCAGTTAAAAGATGTAAATAAAAAAGTAAATAATTACTATTTTACACAACAATTTTTGACTTTAAAGCGAACTGTATTTCAAAAATATAAAAATGAAAAAAATGATTGTTTCAAAAGTTTATTGACCATGATTGCTTTGATTGCCGAATTGCCTATTACTCTAATTTTCTAATCCTGTTCGTCAAAAAAAAATTCTATAGTTTAAAACTTATGACTGTTTGATGGAGCAAGGGTATACAATATCAGATTTATCAGAAAATGGATTATATTATCATAATTTGAATGGAGTAATCAATTTCTTAATATAATTGATCATTTCTACTCTACTTGTAAACAGTTATAATTTTGACATCTGTAATCAAGTTCCTTGTTTTTACTCCTACAATGATAAAAAGAGATGTAATAAGTCCTAAGCAGGCCGTCACTAGTCCTGTCATACCAAACATTTTTAGTTTTGGAAACAAATTCTGCCTATTTGTTTTGAAATCTCAAAAATGAGATTCATTTAAGAAAAAAAAATCTTTGAAACATAAAAACATTATTAAATTATGCATTTCCTGTAAGAATATTTAAATAAAAATACTTTACAGAATCCTAGAAGCCAACGTAAAACTACTTCTGTTAGCTCATAATTTTGAATTTTTAAAGATAATGCATACTCATGAGACTTTATAATTTTTAAGGCACTTTAAACGCCGTATTTTATGGTTTTATCAAATCAAAAATTGAAATTGTTAAATTTAAAAAAAGTTAATTGTGAAAATGTATGTCCCTGAGACGAGAATAATGACCGGGGTTTTGTCTGAGGACGAGGTTGAGGCTGTAGGGAATACCTCGGCGAGGTTGGAGATCTCGATAACATTGACAACACCAACCTCATGCCTGGTAATAACATCTTTAAATATCAAATTCCCACACTGAACTAGACAGAAGGAGGTCAAAGGAATTGAGTTTTTGCCACTAACTCTAATTTTCTAATCCCTGTATCTTTATATCGTAGATCTTGGATATTTCAAACTTAGATTATTTGATTCAACAGAATTGATAGTATAAAATATCTAAGGTTTACGCCATCATGGGTTGCACAGATATTAGGATTAGAAATTCAGACTTTGTGGCCAAAACTGAATTCCTTTATGCGATTACTAGTACAATTTATTGTGATTCCGTAGCTATCTAGTTTTCATCTTACACACAAGTATCATGAAAGCAAATTTATCTGAGTCCGAATTTAATGAATTTAAGCCGCGTCTCAAATCCCCCAAACACCGGTTTTAATTGAGCGCCGGATTGAATTTTTAAAGATTGTTTACAATTTTAAGTGGAACCAACCATATATTTACCTTAAGCCGCGGCTCAAATTCTTTAAATTCGGCCTCTGATTACATAAAAGAAGTTTAAAAATATATGTTTTCTTCTTCAATAAGAGGAATTATGATTAAAAACATAAATTATTTCTATCTTACTAGCAATTTAACTTATTTTGACGGAGTAAAAACTATATACAACAGAGCTGTGAATAATATTTGTATCTATGTGTTTGTTTGTAACCATTGCTGAGATACGTAGAAACTTAATTAAAAATATTACATTTAGAGTTGGGCATTGTTTTACCCATTTTTTAAACATTTGGAATTTTTAAGCATTAAGGGGACTCAACAAAAATCTAAAAAGTTTGACATTTTTCAAAATTGTATTCTCTAGAAGTTTGCTTTGCAAATCTTCATTATGGGAGAAAATTTTCGCCTGACCGATTTTTAAAATTATTCGTCAAGTAACAATTGGGTTTGATTTGTTCAGGCTTTTAAATATTCACACTCAAAATTTTGCATAATTTAACAAAAACTTATAGAAAATTGAATTTTCACGTTCGTAAGACTTGGTAGATTTTTTTTAAGCTTAGCAATTGTGTAGTTTACTAGATAAATAATATAATTAATTGTACTCAAGTAATAGATTTTAGAAACTATGACAAAAAAGGTATTTTGGAAATATTAAAGGGACTGTTAGCGTAATATCAAGTATCCTTCCATGTAAAAATGTCCGATTAACAACGGTACCCTTAGGAGCTTTGTCTGATAAAGTAACAATTAGATCTGAAATTTTATAGTTTAGAAAACTAATTTTCTTCAATTGCATGGATTCTCAACAAAATTGATAGGCGCATTTCGACTGCAGGAAAACATTTAGGAATTATCATATTTAAAAACTTAAAACGAGAAATACGACAGTGTATCTTTCACATTCTTGACCAGATAAGGGTTTCAAGGGTATCGTTGTGAATCGGACATTGGCATTTTTGCATGCATGGTCACTTGAAAATACGCTTACAGTCCCTTTAAACTGATCTGTGGTTATATATATTGACATTTGACAATCAACTAAACTTATGTAATATATTTAAGAAATTATGATCGGAACAGTTTTTAAAGGGCATCATTGGAATTAAGTTTCTTTAAACAGATCTGATGTTATATATTGGCTTAGGTTATAGATTAGCATAATGTTAAGGCGGAGTATCATATAGTTCTACAGCTATGAAGGGTGGGGTCCAATTCTAGATTAAAAATCAATCAATCAATGAATATATTTGCAAACAAAACATTCCTGCAGATATAGTTTTCAATGGATTATTTAAGAATCGTAATATATAAGTTTGAGTCTACTAGTCTGTTTAATGTTCATGGTTTTGCTTTAATATTTTAGTCTACTAGTCTGCTTGATGTTTGGTTTGGCTTTAATACTTATAGTTTGTTTGATGTTTGGTTTGGCTTTAATACTTATAGTTTGTTTGATGTTTGGTTTGGCTTCAATACTTATAGTTTGTTTGATGTTTGGTTTGGCTTCAATTTCTGTCAACGGAAAATGAAGTTCATTTAGAAAAATGTTTGATTTTTCTAAATTTTGAAAACTGTTCAACAAAAACCCGCAAGGTTATATAGCGTTATAATGTACGTAGCAAACATGGTCGTACAAGTAAAGCATCATGGTCTCAACTAAAAGTAAGTTTTTACCTTGGTTGAAAAAGTAAATACCAAAGAATTAAACCTAAAAATTGAAAAACTTCATTATTTACAATGTTAATGATAATAATGACGATATAAATGTTATAAATAATATTGATGATATAAATGTTATTGATAATGATGATTGAATGATATTGATAATAATGATATGAATCAATGTTATTGATAATTATGTAAACATGAATGTTATTGATAATAATGATGATATCAATATTATCAAGAAATGCAGTTAGGATAAAAAAGAAAATATTTAGGATATAAAAAAAACTCTAGTTAGGATATAAAGAAAAGTAGTTAGGATAAAAAGAAAAGTAGTTAGGATAAAAAGAAAAGTAGTTAGAATAAAAAAAGTAGTTAGGATAGGATAAAAAGAAAAGTAGTATGGATATAAAGGAAAGTAGTTAGGATATAAAGGAAAGTAGTTAGGATATAAAGGAAAGTAGATAGGATATAAAGGAAAGTAGTTAGGATATAATGGAAAGTAGATAGGATATAAAGGAAAGTAAATAGGATATAAAGGAAAGTAGTAGGATATAATGGAAAGTAGATAGGATATAATGGAAAGTAGTTAGGATAAAAAGAAAAGTAGTTAGGATATAATGGAAAGTAGATAGGATATAAAGGAAAGTAGTTAGGATATAATGGAAAGAAGTTAGGATGTAAAGGAAAGTAGTTAGGATATAAAGGAAAGTAGATAGGATGTAAAGGAAAGTAGTTAGGATATAATGGAAAGTAGATAGGATATAAAGGAAAGTAGATAGGATATAAAGGAAAGTAGTTAGGATATAATGGAAAGTAGATAGGATATAATGGAAAGTAGTTAGGATAAAAAGGAAAGTAGTTAGGATATAAGGAAAATTAGTTAGGATATAATGGAAAGTAGTTTGGATATAAAGGAAAGTAGTTGGGATATAATTGAAAGTAGTTAGAATATAAAAAGTAGTTAGGATATAAAGAAAAGTAGTAAGGATATAAAGGAAAGTAGTTTAGATATAAAACAAGTAGTAGGATATATAGAAAAGTAGATTGGATATAAAACAAGTAGTAAGGAAATAAAGAAAAGTAGTTAGGATATAAAGGAAAATAGTTAGGGTATAAAACAAGTAGTTAGGATATAAAGGAAAGTAGTTAGAATATAAAAAAAGTAGTTAGGATGTAAAGGAAAGTAGTTAGGATATAAAGGAAAGTAGTTAGGATATAAAGGAAAGTAGTTAGGATGTAAAGGGATTAATGCATGACACAAGGTAAAATGGATTCTAACCTAGTGCTGTAAGAACGTATAAGACTGATTGAATGATACCAAGAACCACAATAAATGTAGTAAGTTGGCAACACCAAGACCGTAATCTAATCTCCATTTTGGATCACAGAGCTTTCAACTCTTTTGGAAGATTTCGACTCCTCTGAGTGGCTTTAACTGCCTCTGCCGATTTTCATAACAATTTTAATTACTTTTACATTTTTCTAAAATTAATATGTATTATAAATAATTATTCACAATTATGTTAAGCTCAAAAAAAAGAGTTTTAGAAGGTGATACGAGCACATCTCTGGCATGGGAGGACTTTGTTTCATTACAGCAATGACAATTTAATAGCAAAGCCACCTTTGAACTTGATTTGAAGATGGGGATATTATACATTTATTTCAGAGGGTTTATAGAAGCACATGCCATAATTAAAGTAAGTGTTACGTTAGATGTAAATATTTCATGTTTTCAATGGATTAAAGATGAGATAT